TTGGTGGCAGCTCTGGTGGAAGTAAAGTGGCTGGAGACGGTGGAACAGCACGGACTTAGAGACCGACCGGACATAACCATACCCATGTCGATATGGTGGTTCGTCCCTCAGTACATGCTGGTGGGGCTTGGCAATGTACTGACGCTGGTGGGTACACAAGAATTCTTCTACGACCAAGTTCCGCACGAACTGAGAAGCATTGGCCTTGCTCTGTGTCTGAGTTCATTGGGGATAGGAAGCTTCTTGAGCAGTGGCATGATATCTGTCATAGATTCCGCCACCGGAGGAGATGCCGGGAATAGTTGGTTCAATACCAATCTGAATCGAGCTCATCTTGATTACTTCTACCTGTTACTTGCTTCCATCACTGCTGTCGGTTTTTTGGTCTTCTTGTTCTTTTCCAAGTCTTATGTTTATCGTCGGTGATCGAGAACGATGGCCAAGAAATTACTTTTTTGTAACTTTCTATGTGAAATAAGACATTCATGTGATTATTTTACATTTTCATGGAATGGAATGGAATGGGTGGATGAAAAAGTTGCAAAAGTGTAAAAGAAATAATCCCACAAATATATACGCAACTAATTTCTCAGTCCACAAGGTTCCCATAAAAATTATCCAGTTTCAAAAAAAAAATATCATTAAAAAAATCTGAATTTGTAATACGGTTAAATGGTGTGGACCCGCATATCACGTCAATTTTTATTGTAACTTAGACAAAAAAAAAAGTAACGTCGGCAATTTAAAAAACTATATATATATATATATATTGACAGCGTTTACATGTTTTTACTGTTTTTACAAATTTAGTTATTTTAATGTCAATTTTTTCAAATTTGATAATTTTAATTCAGCAAATTATTTTTACAGCTTTAGACATTAGAAAGTAAATAATAGCACCTTAAATAAATATACAAAGTTGTATTTCGTAAAAAGATTTGAGTAGGTCGTGAAAACATGGCTTCTTTAATGCCACTAAACAACTTTGGAGCTTGAAACGGTAGATTTACTGATGTAGCTACTTCCAAAAATAAAAAATAAAGGGCGCGTGTTAGTTACTGATGGAAAACGCAAATCCTTGATTCAGCAACGTTGTCGAACAAATCCATTTCTCTCGGTCACGACGTCAATGGCGATTCCTGCAGAAATGCCTCTGCTCGAAGATCACGTCGGCGACGCTGTTGACCACCGTGGACTTCCCGCCGGCAGATCCACCACCGGCGGATGGAGATCCGCTTGGTTCATCATCGGTACGGGGCCAACATCTCATTGAGATCCGAAAATATTTATCTTTTCTCCGTCCATTTGAGCTTCTCGAGTGGATTCTCAGGTGTGGAAGTGGCGGAGAGGTTCGCCTACTATGGGATCGGATCTAATCTGATTAGCTACTTGACCGGACCTCTCGGCGAGTCAACGGCGTCCGCCGCCGCCAACGTCAACGCCTGGTCGGGGACCGGCTTTCTTCTTTCCGTCCTGGGAGCCTTCATCTCCGATGCTTTCCTCGGCCGGTTCCCTTCCCGTCCTGGGAGCCTTCATCTCCGATGCTTTCCTCGGCCGGTTCCACACCGTACTGGTCGCTTCTCTCATCTACGTCCTGGTTCGTCTCCTTCTCTTTCTGAAGCTTCCATTTTCGATCCCAATCGGTAATTTACTTGCCAGAACAGTAGAATTCGATCGATCGAGATGATACTGTGTGTTTGATTATCAATATACCTTCAAATTTCTTCCGACTTCTGCATTTATCCTTGTGAAGTTACTATTCTGATGAAGAACTACTGTACTGACTCAGGGACTGGCTTTGTTGACTTTATCGGCACTGTTGATTCCGATCAGCCCATCTACGGACGAGAATTCCGATACAGCAATGGCGGTGGTCACTTCGCAGTCTTCCATGGTCAATGCTCTCTTCTTCTTCTCTCTGTACATGGTGGCGATCGGGCAGAGCGGCCACAAACCATGCGTTCAGGCATTCGGAGCTGATCAGTTCGACGGAGAAGATCTCAAAGAGAAGAGAAGCAGAAGCTCCTTCTTTAACTGGTGGTACCTTAGTTTTTCTGCAGGGATCAGTCTGGCAGTTTTGGTAGTTGTGTACGTTCAGGACAACGTCAACTGGGCGGTTGGCTTTGGGATCCCTTGTCTGGTCATGGTGTTCTCCCTTGTCGTCTTCTTGCTCGGGAGAAGAACTTATAGGTACACCAAAAGAGGACACGATGAGGACAACGCCTTCACGAGAATCGGCAGAGTTCTCGTCGTTTCGTTCAAGAATCGGAGACTGAGTTTTACGCGACCAGGTCAAGCTCAAGGCCGCACCGAGATGGAGGCAGATCCTTCTCAAAGGCATTCCGAGAAGCTCGGGTAAGTGAGACGTGTTCCGTCAATGGCGAGAAGCGAGAATTATATCGGAAATGTAACGTTATACTCTTCCTTTCGACAGGTTTCTCCACAAAGCTTTGCTTTCTCCGCATGATTCTGTTGAAGATGCACGGCCATGCAGCATTAGAGACGTGGAAGACGCGATGGATCTGATAAGACTTGTCCCGATATGGTTCACGACTCTGGCCTACGCCATTCCCTATGCACAATACACGACTTTCTTCACAAAGCAAGGTGTAACGATGAACAGAAAAATCTCGCCCGGAGTGGAGATTCCCCCGGCTTCTCTTCAGATCCTCATAGGCATATCGATTATCCTAATCGTTCCCATCTACGACCGTGTTTTCGTCCCAATTGCCAGGTCCATAACCAAAATCCCTCGTGGTATCACGATGCTGCAAAGGATCGGAGCCGGAATGGTTCTGTCAGCTCTCACAATGGTGATCTCAGCTCTGGTGGAATCAAAACGGCTCGAGACAGCGAAAGAACACGGCCTTATAGACCTACCGGACACAACTATTCCAATGTCGATATACTGGTTGGTTCCTCAGTATCTGTTACTGGGTTTGGCAGATGTGTTCACGTTGGTCGGAATGCAAGAATTCTTCTACAGCCAAGTTCCGACGGAACTGAGAAGCATCGGTCTCGCCCTTTATCTGAGCGCATTGGGCGTTGGAAGCTTCTTGAGCAGTTTTCTTATCTATGCGATCGATTCGATCACCGGAAAAGACGCCGGAAAAAGCTGGTTCGATAATAATCTGAACCGAGCCCATCTCGATTACTTCTACTGGTTGCTCGCTGCTCTCAGCGCCGTCGGATTCTCTGCGTTCTTGCTGTGCTCGAGGTCTTATGCCTATCGCCACCTCGATATAGCGTAGGAAGCCTTTTCTCGGTTTAGGGGGTCGGTCCGTTTGGTTCGGTATGTTAAAGATTGGATAGTATCATAGTGGTATGTGTAAAATATCTTGTTCATATCTCTCAAGATATTTTAAGCTAAAACTGAATTTAAATAGATTTTTGAATTCATAGAATAAAAATAAGAGACAGATGTTGAAATTGGGTTTTAATTTAATGAAGTGTAGAATCCGTACACATAAAAGGGAATTTAAAATGGAATCCAATACATGTCACTGTCACAAAATCCAGAATTGATTGTTAATTCCAGCTTCTTATCACTTCACATCTATAAAGCAAAAAAGGCGCACACACACAGTGGTGGAATATACCAAATTTAATTTGGAACAGAATTATTGTGTGCTTCACAAATGTCGAAAGCTTTGTGAGCGTTACCAATCTGTACAGAGCAACTCTCCATTCTGCAACTTTTTTTTTCTCTAGAGAAGGGAGGGGAAAAAATGGAGAATACCGACGAGAAGACTCTCGGAGAGGGTTACGCCAGCTCCGCCGTCAACCACCGTGGAATTCCCGCCGAGAAATCCTCCACCGGCGGATGGAGATCTGCTTGGTTCATCATTGGTAAAAACACTCAAAACAGACGGAGAGATTTGAAGTTTGCTCTGTTTTCTCATTCCTCTGTTTTCTGCAGGTGTGGAAGTGGCGGAGAGGTTCGCCTACTTCGGGATCGGATCGAACCTAATAAACTACCTGACCGGACATATAGGCCTTTCTACGGCGGCGGCGTCCGCGAACGTGAACGCCTGGGTCGGAACCGGCGCCATTCTTCCGGTTCTGGGAGCTTTCGTGGCCGATGCTTATCTCGGTCGGTTCCGCACCATTGTCGTCTCTTCTCTCATCTACGTTGTGGTTCGTCTCCTTCTCTTTCCTTTGTCTGATTCCGACAATCAGTCCAACTCCAAGTTGTTTCTGCAATTTGTCCTTGTCCCCCGCCCCTGTACATTGGTTGTTTACAGTTCATAAACTGGATTCGGCGGATTGCAGGGGATGGCGTCGTTGACATTATCAGCCTTTATGAATCCGATCATCAAATCTAAGTACCGGAATCACAATAAAACTGAAGCGGGCACTTCACCCTCTTCCCTGATCAACGTGATCTTCTTCTTCTTCTCTCTGTATCTGGTGGCGGTCGGACAAAGCGGTCACAAGCCATGTGTCCAGGCCTTTGGAGCTGATCAGTTCGACGTAGAAGATGAGAAAGAGAAGAAAGCCCGAAGCTCATTCTTCAACTGGTGGTACCTCAGTTTGTCGGCAGGGATCAACTTAGCGATTCTGATAGTTGTCTATGTCCAAGACAACGTCAGCTGGGCGCTCGGCTTCGCCATCCCTTGTCTGACCATGATGATCTCTCTTGTCGTTTTCATCTTCGGGAAAAGGACTTACAGGTTCTCCATCAGAAATCACGTCCAGGAAAACGCGTTTGCCAGAATCAGCAGAGTTTTCATCGTAGCGTTCAAGAATCGGAGGTTGAGTCCTGGCCACGCCGAGATGGAGCCTGGCCCATCTCATAGACGTTCCGACAGTATCGGGTAAGAACAACAGAAACGCATGAATGATTTGATTTGTCTGTCTGAATCTGTCTTCTCTCGTGGCCAGGTTCCTCAGAAAAGCGTTGCTTTCTTCTGATGCTCCGGATGAATCTGCGAATCAATGCAGCGCAAGGGACGTGGAAGATGCGACGGCTCTGATAAGACTTATCCCCTTTTGGATCACCACTCTGCCCTACGCCATTGCATACTCTCAATTCTCGACCTTGTTCACAAAGCAAGGCATGTCAATGGACAGGGACATCTTTCCCGGCGTGAAGGTCTCGCCGGCTTCACTTCAGATCCTCATAGGACTTTCCATCATCGTCCTTGTCCCATTCTACGACCGGGTTTTCGTCCCCATCGCAAGATCCTTCACCAAAGAAACTTCCGGAATCAAAATGCTCCAAAGAATCGGGACCGGGATGATAGTGTCGGCTGTGACAATGGTGGTCGCAGCTTTGGTGGAAGCGAAACGGCTAAAGACGGCGAGAGAACACGGCCTTACGGAACAGAAGGACGCAATGGTTCCGATGTCGATATGGTGGCTGATTCCTCAGTATCTGTTGCTGGGTTTGGCAGATGTGTTCACATTGATCGGAATGCAAGAGTTCTTCTACAGCCAAGTTCCGACCGAACTGAGAAGCATCGGCCTTGCTCTGTATTCGAGCGTGCTGGGAGTTGGAAGCATCTTGAGTGGGGTTCTAATCTCGGTGATCGACTCGGCCACCATTGGAGCCGGAGGTTTGAGCTGGTTCGACGATAATCTAAACAAAGCCCATCTGGATTACTTCTACTGGCTGCTGGCTGCTCTCAGCGCCGTCGGGTTCTGTGCCTTCTTGTTCCCGTCGAGGTCGTATGTCTATAACCAGCGTGACGGAGCGTAGGAGCTTATGTTTGATTCCGTTGTGTTTTCCGGTAACAAAAACATTACATATGTACTATTCGTATATATATATATATATATATATTATTAAATAATAAATTAATAAAATTATAGTTAAATTTAGAATATTTTAGTTTTCTTTAAGTACGTTTATAATATATAACTATCCAAAAATGTAATAAATCTCAATATTTATAAAATATAAAAAATGTTATACTTATTATTTCGTAATTTCAATTATATTTTGAAATATATATATAATATTAAATTATTATTATAAATATATGTTAACTTAAGATAAAAACATAAATTAATAAAATTATAGTTTTTTATATTTTTAATAAAAATATATGCTTTATTTAAAATGGTCAAAATTTAAATTTTAATAGTTAAAGATTTTTTGACGAGGATAAGACAATTTATAATCGAAATAAAACAGAGAATCTGACGATCACAAATATTACAATCGGGCGGATATTCGGCTGCTTACGTCTATTCATTAAGCCAATGATGACTGTGACGGCTTATTATTGGTCGCACAGATTCCCGACTCAACGTCTCTGTTCTAATCTTCGTACAGTTGATTATCAAAAATGGCCATCTCCGACGCCGGAGATGAGTCCCGAGCTTCGCTTCTTCTTTCAACCGTCGACGGATTCGTCGATTACAGAGGCAATCCTGCCGTCAGACCCTCCACCGGCGGCG